GTCCATTCAAATTTCATATGTTGAAGCCCTACCCTCCACTGTGATGGTGTTTGGAGTTGGGTGTTTCTGCTTCGGAAGTGACTAAGCTTAGATGAAGCCTTAGGAGTGGAGACCCCGTGGTGGGATTAGTGTGAGGAGTGACAGGATTCACCAGAGACAGTAGGGGGAGCAGAACAGGCAGATTTAGATTTTACTGAAATAAACTGCTAAAGGAAGTTCATTATTTATGGTTCAGCTCTGCTGCACCATATATGGGTTAGCTCCCTGGCCAGGTATCAAACTCAGGCCTTAATGGCAATAGCACCGAGACTTAACCCCTAGGCTACCAGGAGGACCCTTCACTGCAGTATTACTTACAATAACCATTTTATGGAAGCAATCTAAGTGTCTATCAATGGATGAATGGATAAAGAAATTGTGATCATCTCTCTCTCTCTCTCTCCTCTATGTATATATATATAGACAGAATATTCTAGTCCATAAAAAAAAAAAAAAAGGAATCCTGCCATTTGGAACAACTTGAATCGACTTTAAGGGAATTTATTCTAAGTGACTTAAGTCAGACAGAAAAAGACCAAAACTCTATGATCTCACTTATATGTAGAATATAAAACAAGAATAAAACCCACTATATTCATAGATACAGAGAACTGATTGCTAGATTGATTGCTAGAAGTAGGGCTGGGGTGGGGTGAAATGGATAAAGGGAGTTGAAAAATACAAAACATTAGCTATAAAATAAATAAGTCAGGAGATATGATGTATAGCATAATGACTGCCATTAATAGTACTGTATTATTTATTTGAAGATTGCTAAAAGAGTAGATTTTAAAAGTTCTCACCACAAGAAAACAACTGTTTACAACTAAGTATGGTGAAGGCTGTTAACTAGACTTATTGCAATATGTACAAACATCAAATAATTATATGCATGAAACTAATATAATGTTAAATATTATTGTAGCACAATAAAAAATAAAATATGGGCCCTCCCTGGTGGTGCAACGGGTTAAAGCACAGCACTAAGAAGCAAAAGTCACGTCAGTATGAGTTTGATCTCCACCCGGGAGGTGACCCACATGGCACAGCAGACCTCCTCTGACCCGCCCACTGCTCCCCTCAGCAGTGGACTTCATCAGTCAGCCTGTTCTGCTCCCCACTCTTTCTCTGGTGAATCCTCTCTCTGGCCTGTACCCCAGTTCTGTATGCATAAATAAATATATAAAAAATATATAATAAAATATAAACCTTGGCCCTCCCTGGTGGTGCAGTGGGTTAATGCACTGCACTAAGAAGCTTAAGCCACTTCTGCATGAGTTCGATTCCTGCCTGCACCATAGGTGACCATATGGCGTGGCAGACCTCTCCTGACCCGCCCGCTGCTCCCCTCAGCAGTGTACTTCCTCAATCTGCCTGTTCTGCTCCCCGCTCTGTCTCTGGTGAATCCTCTCACCCTCCGCATCTCTGGCCTGTACCCCAGTTCTGTATG